CCGCCGCCGCCGGGTGCTGCCTCTATGGCGAGGAGGAGGAGGAGGAGCGCCAGCTCAGAGACACAAGTAGATTTAGCGACTGCTGCAGACCTGCGGGGAGAAGGGCGGGCTGGGGAAGTAGAAAGGGGGCGGGAACCATGAACCTGAGAGGGTGCGCGATGGCGCCTGCTGGAGGAAAGAGCTTGGTGGCGGGTGATGGGGGAGGGTAACTGGGGCTGGGGGTATTTTCTAGAGGGTGGCGCGGAGTGATGACGTAACGGCTTTGTACCTGGGGCTTCGATGGGGGACGGAAATTTAGAGTTGAGGGCGGTGGCCTAGATCCTCAGCTCCTGGTGTTTCTTCACGCAGCATTACTTGGGAGTCAATCTGGCTCCAGTAAATATCAGAATCTTCGCGTTGGCTCTGTGCCAGGGAAAAGAGTTATCTGTGACATGAATGCCTCTGTGCTGTCCTGTTTCTCTGGAAGCCTGTGGAGATGGTACCTACACAGTAGTGAGAAGGCCTTTGGTGACTCTTCCTGGCATTTGGAGCAGCATAGAGAGAGAAGTGGAAGAGAGCAGTGTTTAACTACAGTATCATACCAAAGTGTTTGTGTATCTGGATGGGAGTTTTAAAGAAGGGCTGTCTTGGATCATTTGTGATTTCTGTTCTTAGAGCAGACGTTACATTTATTATTTCGGAGTAGGACGACACAAGATTCCCCTCTTTGACCTCAGTTCCCCCCCCCCCCGAATTTCTGTGAAAAATGAAGGAGCATTTGGGATTTCTCTAAGAATATGTTGGTCCAAATTACCATTGTATATCAGAAACCAGCAACATGAGAGCTATCTTTAGCAACGGAAAGTTCTTGGAATTTTAGGAAATTAGAAGTAAATTTAAAATGCAGACATTCTGTTGCCCTTTTTTTCACCATCCTACAGTTTCAGATATTCAAAAGATTTCTGTGGCTGTTACTTTTTTCTCACAACGTATTTTTTAAAAATTAGTTTTGTCCCCTTCAATCTGGATTGAATAAATGCCAATGAAGCAGATTTTGTAATTAAGATTTAAAATGTTTTGTTAATTAATGACAAACAAAAGTAAATGGTACCTTTATCATGGTAGCATCTGATCTCAATTTTATTTGGAAATGGATGGCTTCATAAAGTTTTATGCAGAGGATGAATTGAACTCTCTTTTTAACAGAAAGTTTAAAAATATAATTTATATGTATGATTTAAGGACCCTGGGTAAATAACTACTTAGGTTTCTACCAGCTCAATTCTGTGATTTAGATTTATGATACATCTGGAATTCAGATTTATGATATAGCTAGTTTTTATTTTGTTTTTTTATTTTGACAGGTACATAAATAAAGGACAAAGTATTTTATGAAACAGATCTTCAATCAAATATAACATTTTGATGCTTGGCATCTAGACTCCCTTCTGCCCTCACTATGCCAGCAGCAACTGTAGATCATAGCCAAAGAATTTGTGAAGTTTGGGCTTGTAACCTGGATGAAGAAATGAAGAAAATTCGTCAAGTTATCCGAAAATATAATTACGTTGCTATGGTATGCCCTTGAACAGATCTTTAAAATGATTGTAATAAAGGGATAGGAGGGATTTTAAGTTTGAATTCAACCCTTTTGGTTGATTTTTAAAGATTAACCATGAAAAAAAAAAATTACTGGTGCCCTCTCCATCACAAAACCATCAGAAGCATAACTGTAATTTGACAAGTTGGGTTTATTACTCGTTGCAGTAAGGGAAACACATTGGGAATCATGGGGTATTTGAGTACGAATGTTAGAAGGTCGCTATTAAATTTGGTCTTGTGTCAGGGATATTTAGTTAAGGTGTAAGGAAGTAGGTCTTTTTTCTGGATTGGTTGCTGTCAAGAAGATGCATTATTTCCCTATTTGGGTATTGTCATAAGTCTGACCAGAATGAGGGAAGACTAAAATAAAGGTAAAGCTGCAGAGGAGGAACAATCATGATAAGGCCTAACTTATAGTATCAGATGAACTCTTGGAAGCCAGGGGGTTCCAGGATATTTCTTTCAAACAAATGGAGTCTCCCATTGAATGAAACATTGTTTGTCTGCAATTTTTAAATTATAATCACTGGAACTCCATGAACACACTATATTATTAAGCAGCTCTGCTCTCACACATGCTATTCAGTCTGCCTAGATTGTTTATATAGTTAATTGTTTTCTGCTTTGCTATTGTATTTTTATGTATCTATTGTAGCTACTCTACTGTTTTCTAGACCCCCTAGATTGTTAGTTCCATAAAGCAAGGGAGTAGTGTCTTCCTTATGCTTTCAACACCTAGCATAGTATCCAATAATTGGTTGTTGAATTGAACTGAATTTAAAGAAGTTTTAATTTATTTTTTCATATTGGGTTGGTATTTAGTTTTTGTTGTTTGTTAGTCTTAGTTTGAATTTGGATACTAATGGATATGTTATTTTCTCAGTATTTTAAATATAAAGAAAAATAAATCATCTTGTTTGGGTAGGGACAAGATGATTGGTGAAAATACAAATATGTGTACATAGGCAACATTCTATTTAATAAACGTTTATTTGCCCATAATTAGAGTTGAAATTATTTTTCTTTTGTTGGGGGGATATTTCTTATCCAGCAGAAATTCATAGTGATTTTTTAAATGATAAGGGGTAACAACATTACAGAAATAATGACATCCACCAAGTGTGGTGGCACACACCTATAATCACAGGGGCTTGGGAAGCAGAAGAATCAGGTTCAAAGCCAGCCTTAGTAACTTAGTGAAGCAATAAGCAACTTAGCAAGACCTTGTCTCAAAATTAAAAATAAAAAGGGATGAGGATGTGGTTTAGTGGTTAAAGCACCCCAGGTTCAATCCTGGTAGCCAAATAAGTAAATATATGTAATATCCTACAAAAAGGAGTGGGTGGCATACAGTTCTTGACAGATGCTTTCTGTGATTGATAGAATGTTCGTTTAGCCAAAGAAATTAGGAGGCTAATGGTGCTTCTAGTGATTTTGGTGTTGACATAAACCTTGTCTCATAGAAACAATTGGAAAATGGTGAATTTTCTACTCCTTAACCAATTCTTCATGCAGCTTGCTTTTATTTTAATATTTTAATACTGTGAGCATCGCTTAATATACTCTTTAGGAAATATGAATTAATGTTTTTTCTTCTCTTTGGCATAGAGTAATAAGTATCATATTTTAAGTAAAAAAAATCGTTAAGTGTAGTTTCATTTCATGGTTCTAAAAATTAGTGCTCTTCCTAGTTAAAAGTATTTAATATAAACATGTAGAGTATCATCAGTAATAGTATTCTTTGACTTGCATCAAAAATTATTCTAGGAATTTATGGATTTTGGTTGTTAACATTTAGTAAATAATGAACCCTAAAACTGTTTTACAGGACACCGAGTTTCCAGGTGTGGTTGCGAGACCCATTGGAGAATTCAGGAGTAATGCTGACTATCAGTACCAGCTATTGCGATGTAATGTAGACTTGTTAAAGATAATTCAGCTAGGACTGACATTTATGAATGAACAAGGAGAATACCCTCCAGGAACTTCAACTTGGCAGTTTAATTTTAAATTTAATTTGACGTAAGTGGGAACTACATATATAACTCAAGCCTTTTTTGTTTAATTTTAGAAATTGATTTCCTCAGATATAGTAAAGTTCTGAGTGAATTAATTTTGGTACAGTTATCCTGGAAATACATTGCATTTCAAAAATGTAGGTTTTGTTCAGATATTAAAGATGTTAGAATTCAGATATTTCAATTTTAAAGATATATTTAAAAAATATGACTACTAGGTTTTTGTTTTGTTTTTTTTTTTTTAATCTGGGAAACTGGGTTTTTTGTTGTTGCTGTGGTGGTGGTGGTTGTTAATTTCAGGCTCAGGGTCTCGTGCATCCTAACAAGTGATATAGCTGTTTTCCCAGCTCCAAATCATTGGGTATTGAAGATACTTTTTGATAGAAAAAATAATCTTAGGACATTGATTGTACTTTCAAACTTTTTGTGTGCCATGTGAAATACAGATTTCTATAATATGCATTCTTATGAAGAGATTTTTATTGCAGTCATAGTACTCTAGTTTATAAGTAGACATGTCACATGCAGTAAGATATTTCTTGGAAAGTTGGGTGCATTTTCTTTTCAAATCAGTGTTATGGAATGATTATTTTCCCTTGTCATCTCATAGAATCTCTTAATTTTCATAAAGTAGAGCAGTATCCTTAAACTTGGTGATGTTAGTATGTCAGAATCTAAATTCTAACTCAATCCTTGGGTCTACACTCAGTTTCTTTATTTACAATATTTCTATATTATTGATAGAAGTAGGCTTGATAGCTGAGAGAAGTTTATAATGTTTTGGGGGCAATGACAGGTTGTTTATAAACTGTTGAGGAAATAAAATGTATTAATGCATTTTAAATGTATTATAGTATTACAGTGTCCTTTTGTTTAATAACCTGTATTTATATGATATGATCTAATATCTGATCGGAAAAAACAAGTTACTGGGTAGTTAATGGGAGTGCAATATAAAAATTATTCCTATTCTTGATTGCATAATGTTTTGTTTAACATAAGCTAATGAAAAGCAGGCTAATGATTTTAGAGGTAGTAGTGACAGTAGTATAATAGTGTGGCTTCTCAGTGCATTGTGTTTATTGTGACTCTTCATTTTACTTTGTAAGTACTAATATTATTGTAAATATTATATAGTATAATTACAATATACTTTCCAGAACCTTTAAAAGGTTAAAAAGTATTCAATCTTTCTATAACTGATAACCTTTTATAAATACTACAGATCACACACAGTGAAAATTACCTTCTATCCTTTTCTTAAAAGATAATCGTTTAATTAGTCCCTTATCATTTTAATCGTTCTGTGTTACTTTTTTCCCCCAAATGATCATTAGAGCATTGTCACAAGAACATTTTAAATAAAGTACTGTTATGATTTGAGTTCATGAGTAAAAGAGTGACCCCTTAGTGTCTCAGTTTTGGTAAAATTGTTTCCTCTTCTAGAAACATCTTTGCTTTAGTAACAGTGGCTTTCTTAATACAGTCTCTGTGCAACTTTTTTTTGTTTCCCTGACACTATAGTTTTAACACCAAATTTTGCTACCGATTACAGAAATGTTAGTGTCCTAAGACTTAGTTAAGGAGCAGGATATAGTGAAAAACATTCAAGTAGAAAAGGTCATTTGAATGATAAAGCCAGTACTGTGTAATATGTGAAGAGAGCACTGTGAACAGCATCTTGGACATGTTTAACAAGATGAAAATGGACTTTTTAAATCCAAGTGTCTATAATGAATGTGTCAACTACAGTGCTAGTCTCTAGGGGTATAGTGTTGAAGAAAATTGGTCATGGTAATTATAACTTAGTGTTTTCTATTGCTCTTCTATTTTTATGAACATAGAATTTCCAAGTCAGTTGCCCCTAAGAATTCAGTATTTAAATAGTGCCAGTGTTGCCAGGTATGATAGTTCAGGAGAATCAGGAGTTCAAAGCCAGCCTCAGCAACTTAGCAAAACCCTGTCTCCTAATAAAACATAAAAAGGACTGGGGATGTGGCTCAATGGTAAAGTGCCCCTGTGTTAAATCCCCAGTACCAACATAAAAAAAATTTATACCAATATTTTTCCAAATTTTACCTTGAGCATCAAGAAAATAACTGCAGATCAATATTTATCTACTGTTGATATAAAGACTTGTGAGATATGGAAAGCTATGTATAGTTATAATGGTGTTTCATTAGACTGTGAATAGTTATTTTAAAAAAGCATGCAACTAAAAGATCTGAGATCTAAGTGACATTAATTTCCAGTCTTAGTTATATGTGACATTTAATATTTTCTGAATCTTGAAGGTGTGATTTATGATGTTTAAATCATAGCATCCTGGTTAAAGCACCGTGGTAAAATCAAACAGATTTATGAGCATATGAGTTTTGTAAATAGAATTAACTTTCTTTTTTCATTGTGTTTTTTTTTTTTTTGTCTTTTTTGGAACTGGGGGTCGAACCCAGGGCTTTGCGAATGCAAGGCAGACGCTTTGCCACTGAGCTACATCCCAGCCCTCACTTTTCTTGATAATTATATCATGATAACTACAGTACATTATTGTGGGCTCAGAAGCAAACAATTTTATATTTTTTTTTAAAGCTAGGAAAAGTTTGGTTTCTTTCCAGGGTGCTTGTTGATTTAATAATAATAAATAGGACATACATGTTTGAAGAGCAAATTAAGTGCTATATTCTAAATTAGAGTTGGATTCAGTGTTCTGAAGTAAACTGAGGTTATGGTCACCTGTGTGCTACATAAGCTAAAAGATGTTAATTATCCTAATATTCTGCTTTTACCTCTTGTCAATTTGGTATTAAGGATTATTGTGCAGTTAAACAATGTTCAGTTGACGAGTTTGGATTCATCAACATCCTCACAGACTGAAATTAACATCAAAGTCTATGGATTTTGGACATGAAACAAAGGAAATAAAACCTGAATTTTTAACATACAATACATATTTACTGACAATATTTGCCTTGTTTTTTCTATTTAAAAAATAGCATGCTTCTGGTAGAAAATACAGAAAAGTTAGAGATGACTACTATCACAGTTTTCTAGCATTTCCTCTTTAGTCATTCTGTGATTAAAATACCTTTTTTTACATTAAGAATTTATCATTTATATATAATGAATAAGTTACTAACAACTTTTTGTAATCATTTACATTGACCTCTTTATGGTTATACCATAATATAACTAACCATTTGCTATGGTTGGACATTTAGGTTGTATGTTGAAATTTTTATTGTTGCTTTGCTCTTGAGCCTCTCAATATACAGATGGCCTCTGCTTTAAAGTCGTTCAACTTACAACTTTTTAATTTTACGTTGGTGCAAAAGCAGTATACATTCAGTAGACACCAGACTTTGAGTTTTGAATTTTTGATCTTTTTTCCTGGCTAGCAATATGCAGTGCAAAACCTTCTGGCAATGCTGGGTAGCAATAGCAAGAGGCAGCTCCCAGTCAGTTAACATGATAACAAGTGTAAACAATCAATATTCTATAGTATATTGTGCTACTAATTGTGATGTTAAGTAAGTTAGTTGTTTTAGGTAGATTTTCAGCTTATCATATTTTCAGTGTACAATGATTTTGTTGGGATATAACCCAAAATAATCAAGGAGCATCCATACATCTTTGTCCACCATTTTGGTTATTTTATTTGGAATAGATACCTATATCCAAAGATAGAAAATTCTGTCCTGTCTCACCCATTCAGATAGCAATATTAGCATATTTTGACTTATAAATTTCATTTGGTTCTGATAACTAGTGTTATTTGTTTGTTTGTTTTTGGTAACTTACAAGTCATTTGTTTTCTAATGTTCCATAGCCTTTGAAGATTTTTGGCATCTTTGTGATATCAGTTTGAGTTTATGAAATATTATTATTAACCACCTTTGTATTTGTGACTATCTGTATTCCAGTTTGTGTTTTTAACTTCATAATTTTTTTAGCAGAAATTTAAGTACATTGGAGTTTATACTTTTAAAAACTAATTTTAGTTGGAAAGCATATGAGAGTAACTTTTTGAAAAGTATTTTGTAAACCCTTTGGTGCCTGTTGAATCACGAGTGGTTTGAAGTTGGAGGGTGCCCATGTATTTAAAAATATGAAATTTTGGAGTAGGCCGTTTTTATTTGTAGAAAGTGATAATTTCAAGAAATTTACTGACTTTAGTTTAATTATTTGAAGTATTTCCTGTATTTAGGATATTACCTGCAGATAACCATGCGTCTCTGCTTTTTGGGAAACCCTTCTTAACAGACTTATACATGGTTATCATTCATGTTCAGTTAATGTAACAGATGTTTTGCTATCTTACACTTAAGTAGTTAGTTTAACTTTAGTTAGGAGAGATCATGTTGTATTTTATAATTATTGTAAACAAATTGACCTTATAGTCAGCCAATACCAGCACCTGCAGCAGTTCTCATATCTTGACTAAATGCTACTTTACTTTTTTGAGGGTAATGTATATTAACATTTTTTCCTCTCCATTGCTTGGATTTTTGAGGTGGGAGAGACAGTATAGGAAGGTTTAAAAACTTGAACTGAATGCCATTGAAAAGTGACAGCCTACTGATTTGAAGAATTGACTCAGAACTATTTTCTTCATCCTGCCCCAAGATTTAACTTATCTGCCTAGGGTTTCCCACTTTTTCTTTATCATGAGTTGGGTATTATAAAGCATGAAATTGGTACCAAATTATAAAATGTTCAGTCCATGAAACTTAGATGAGACTACATGGACTTATCTGAATTAAGCTGTATGAACTATGTAGAAAAATAATTATACACAATTCTTTGTTTACCAAACTTATTTGATTATGAAGTACCCAAGGTACTCATCTAGGTCTCTTACCTGGGAATTGTGATTCATTAGGTCTGGGACATCAGTGAGACCTGGAAATCCATATTTTGGTAAGTTCTCTGGATGATTGTTGTTCTTTGGCAAGTTTGAGAAATACTGGTTTAAATAGTGCAGTATACACTGTCCTACTTCATGTATTATCCAGTCTGGTGATATAATATTGAAAACCAGAAATTCCCTTCTTGAAACTTGTGATTGGGACAGAGAGAAAAAAAATTAAATTAAAAGTGAATTGAGCTCATAACCCAGAGTAATGCGAGCCTGGAGAAGAATCTATTTCTTTGGTTATAGTTGCTAAAGCATATTTCAGTGTGAGCTGTGGGACCTAATGAGGAATCTTCTCATCAAAATATATATGGTACATATTTTGAATATAGCAAAACCAGTATCTGTTGTTTAACCCAGGAGAGGTGGTACTGCATTTATTCAGATGTCTCTTTTTAATCTTTAAAAAAAAATTTTATAAGGGAAATTTTAACTTAAAATGATTATTGTGGTTCCTTTCTATTTTTAAATGTTTTAGTTTTGGGCTTTGTTAGTTTTAGACATTTAGAAGCAAAAATTTCCAGAGAATAAATCATGAAAATACTTTGTGGCCCAAGTGAAATATGTCTTTTGGTTTAAGTAATTTCATTAAAGTTTTTAATAGAAAGTTTCTTTGTTAGTATTCTTAAATTTAAAAAAGTAGATCGCTTCTTATTCTCAAAAATATACCTTTGCATTTTAATAAGGTTTTAACATTTTGGTTACTTACGTATTTATACTTGGAATCTTAGAGATGGCTTTGTCTCTAGCGTAAGTGAAATCTTGAAAGACTAGTTTAGATTTTCTGACTTGATTTTGGAGGTAGTCTTCCAGAATTAGGATTGTTGGAAGAAGAAAATTATTGCTGTTATAGCATTCCTTTAATTTTAAATAGTTCACTACTTTTTGGAACCATTTAAAAGGCTTATCATCGTTTGTGAAAGGATGCATCTCCTTTTTAGATTTGTTTAACTTAGCTGCATGAGATGTGTCTCCTGCTTGATATTTCATTCCTGATTCTGTTGCAAGCATGAGAGAGGGGCATAGCGTCACAGCTGTGGCTGGCAGCATTAAAATGGATGTTAAACTAAAATGGATGTTACCATGTCCTGGAAAGAACATGTCTAGGACTTTGTAATAGTAGCCTCTGTGAATAAAAAATTATTTTTAACCATATTAAACTTATGTAATATATAGAAGGCTAATGGAATTGAGTTGATAGTGAATGTTAAAGTCTCATCGTTGGACTTTTGTGATTATCCTTTGAACACTTTTCTGAAGTAATGATCCTTATATTTAGACTGTATTTTTCTTGCATTGATGTAAAGCATTGGAACAATTAGTCCTCTGTCTTGTTTTTGGCACTATAGTTGTAAATGGAAGCCGAAGATAAACTGTTTGAAATAATGGCATTTTGAATGTTGTCTTTCTCTTTCTTCTGCCAGGGAGGACATGTATGCCCAGGATTCTATAGAGCTACTAACAACATCTGGTATCCAGTTTAAAAAACACGAGGAGGAAGGAATTGAGACCCAGTACTTTGCAGAACTTCTTATGACTTCAGGAGTAGTCCTTTGTGAAGGAGTTAAATGGTTATCATTTCACAGGTAAAAAGATTGCATTGAAAATGGATTTGTGGTTCCACTTTATACCTGCCTTGTGCTTGCTTGGGTCATTATACAAACACTATCATGCTTAGTTCTAGAAAGAATTGATTTCCATATAACTGGTTCCTACGTATCTCTTATGAGGCTAATTAATATTGCTGTACCTTAAAGTTACCATTATTATGAGTGAGATCCATTTTATAGCCTGTAGGGGGTAGTATTGCTTAAGTGGAAAGAGCACAGCTAGAAAAATAGATTTTGACTGGAATCTAGCAGTGCCATTGAGTATCATTGTCACAAGGGTTTTTTAACATTTGTAAGCCTTAGTGGGTTTTTTTTTTTTTTAATTATATTTTTTATTTTGCTCGACTGGGGATCAAACCCAGGACCTGGCACATACTAGGTAAGTGCTCTGACATTGAATTACACCCCCTCTAACATTGAGCTACGCCCAAACCCTAAGCCTTAGTTTTTTGTGCTTATAGAAATGAAACCATTCGTTAATAACAATTTTTTTGAAGTATGTGTATGTGTGTATGTATCAAAAAAATAAAACAGCAAAGAGAATGCTATGGGTGAATTTAACTTTTTAAAAAATAGGACGATAGGGAAGAAATACTTGCAGATCTGTTTTAATGGCCAATAATAACATTTATTTATTTATTACCTTTATTTTATTTTTTTATGTGATGCTGAGGATCGAACCCAGTGTCTCAGATGTGCTAGGCAAGCGTTCTACCACTGAGTTACAGCCCCAGCCCCAAATAACATATTTAAAGCATCTAGTAAAATGTTTTGCATAGTAAATTCTCTGTAGATGCTGTGTTTTACTTCTTTATTATAAAATAAAACTAGATGATTTAAAAGAATTTCTATAAAGGAAATTCGTTCCATTTTTGTGAAAATAGACCTTAAGATATGAAAAAATGTTTTTTAACTGAATTGGCAGTCCAGGGACTAAAATCTTAGAAATTATTTTATTTGGCTTTTGGGTATGTTTTTAAAAAGCATTGTATTACATGGCTGTTATGCTTTTATACTTGTTTTCCTCACACATCTATTTTGAATAAGTCCTGCATGCTATAGAATTTTCACACTGACTTATGTAATGAAAGACTTCCTCCTGAAGGCTCCGATGTGATTTTTTTTAGTTGGAGGTACTGAACATACTAATTCTCACCTATCAAATTTTCTCTCTGCCTCCATTTGAACTTGTACATAAGGAAACAAGACTTAATTCTCTGTTAATGTAAGAAGGCTTTTTTAAGTTATTTGTATGTTCCTATATGAGAATGCAAAATAAGTAGAAAGCATATTTCCTTTTTTTTTTTACAACAGGTGATATACTCTTATTCAGAAAATATAAGACCAGACAGGGTTCATGTCTTCTTGGAGTTCAGAATCTAGATTAGATTATTGTATATTTAAATATTTACCAAGGTATGATAAGATTTTTATTCCATTAATATTAAATATTTCCTTCATATTCAAATATATTTCTGGTAAAAACAAATTTAAGAAATTTATAAATTCTAATACAGTCTTACTTTTGCTAGTAGTAAGCAAAAGCCAAATTGTCTTACATTTTTAGATAGCCAGCAAGGTTACTTCCTTGCCAACTATCATAAATTTTAAGTTTCTAATACCTCATGCTTATACTTGATAGTCATTAATGGTGTTCAGCAGTAACACTTCCCTCCCTCTTTTAAAATTATTATTAAAATTCTGAGTGGTAAATAAAAGTTTTGTTTCCCTTCCAAAAGATAGATTAATTGCATCTTTCATCAAATATTTGTTGAGTTCCAACTGTGTGCAAGGAGAAAACAGTATTTTTTACATGTGTTAGAATGATTCATGTATTTGAAAGCATAGTACAAGAAAACATGTTCTGTAAGAAATTTCTGGGAACTGGCTTTCATCGACCTTTTTATTGGAAAGGAGTATGTAATTGATGTGGGAGTAGAGGATAGATAGAAAACTGTAGAGAGGGAAATGAGAGGGATAAGAGATCCTGAGAGTGTGAATTTTTGTTTTATTATTTAGGATAGTACTACTCAACGTACTGTGTTTATTTCTTTCATATGCGGCCGTTTCATTAGTTTCTCTCAGAAAAATATATTGAGATAGGACCAAAATTGTGAGGGAAGAGAGTATGCTTCCAAATGAAGTCATTTAGGAGAAGTGAAAATATTTTGTTGGAAACTTAACTGTGGACTTTTGAAGTATGCTACCATATTATGAAAAACTGGGAAGATTTTATTATTTTTGCCTTCTTAATATTCTTGGTAGTTTTTGACATTTTGGACCAAGTTTCCATTCATCTTTGTTTCCCTGTTTACATTATTTGTTATTCTTTGAGATAATTTTCTTTTGAGACATTTATGAGCAGTTTGATAATCTTTAGTATTCTTTTTTTTTTTTTAGAGAGAAAGTGAATTTTTTTAAATATTTATTTTTTAGTTTTCCGTGGACACAACATCTTTATTTTATTTTTATGGGGTGCTGAGGATCGGACCCAGCGACGCCCTGCGCATGCCAGGCAAGCGTGCTACCACTTTGAGCCACATTCCCAGCCCATCTTTAGTTTTCTTTTAAGTATCAGTGAAATATTAGTGACTGCTGACTTGGGCTGGTACTCTCGGTTTGTATTTCAAGGTCTCTGAGAAATCAAAGGACAAGTTTTTAGCACTGATTGTAAGTTGGCAGGGTTTTCCCATTACATTTGTAAATAATGTATATTTTTTCTGTTTTTTTTTTTATAGTTGATTGCTTTTTTGCTTATAGTGTAATTTGTTTAAATTTTGTATCAATAAAACATCTTTTTTCATCTTTGTGGTATTTATACATCTCTGTTCTTCATTCTTTTGACCCTTTTGTAGTGGTTATGACTTTGGCTATTTAATCAAAATTCTGACCAATTCTAATTTGCCCGAAGAGGAACTTGACTTCTTTGAGATCCTTCGATTGTTTTTTCCTGTCATTTATGATGTGAAGTACCTCATGAAAAGCTGCAAAAATCTTAAAGTAAGGCTTTACCATTGCCCGGTGGCATTATCTGCAAAACAGCACACTATTCAGATCAAGTAACTGAAATAAAATCCTAGGCTGGGGTGATGTTTTAATCCATGTTATTTAAAGTTTGTGTTAAATATAGTATCTGGTCTTTTGATTCTTGCATAATTAATAATTTATAGGCACTCCCCTTTCTAAGCATCAGTATATCTTGGCACAATAGTCAAGCTAAGTGTTGGGAGTTTTGTTATTGATTGCAGATTGAAAATCATAAATCAAACAGAAATGTGAAGACTGGTGGGGTTTTCATATGCACAGAAGTAGTGTGAATTTTAGCTCCCAACACACTTGTAAGCTACAAGATAAAATTTTGAGTTGGCTAGCAATGGACAGATAGATTCAGCTGTGTGGTTAAAAAAACAATGGTTTTTCCCCTCAGCTTACCTTGATTTAGAGTTTTGTGGGGTTCCCCTCCCTGGCTAAAGCCAAAGAGTAATGTTCCTAGAATTAAATTATATAGCTAAAACTATATGAATTTTGCTAGGAGTAAATGCTGTTGTAAATGTGTAGATGCTATCTTGATTATAGCTTGCATTCTGACAACTGCTTAGTTTGTGTAATTTTTTATTTTTATTTTTTTGTTTTGTTTTTTTGGTGCTGGGGATCGAACCCAGGGCCTTGACAAGGCAAGCACTCTACCAACTGAGTTATATCCTCAGCCCTTTATTTTTATTTTTATTTATTTTTTTACTTTGAACTTTTAATTATTTCAAAAGAAGAGTTTGTTAAGGAAAGGTGCTCCTTTGGTTTGAGAACAAATTCACCTATGATGGTACACTAACTATTGAGTTTTATGATGATTGATGGATTAGTAAAATAAGAATGTATAACTATTACCCTTCTGTGATCTGCTTCCTCATATCTTTAGAAAATTTCCTAATTAGAGTCCCATTTTCAGATTTATCAGCTCTTCCAGTTCAGCAAATAAATTAGTATTATATTCTGTTGGGGACGTTCTCACTCGGTGTTCTTAAGATTTAAATATACATTTTAAAGTTTATTCATATTTTGGTCTTTGTCCATGTTTGTGACTTGTGAATTCAGGCATAGAAGTGTTTCTGTTTCTCTCTATGACAAGCAATTTTTATTTCTTCTAGGGTGGATTACAAGAAGTTGCTGAACAGTTAGAGCTGGAACGAATAGGACCACAACATCAGGCAGGATCTGATTCATTGCTTACAGGAATGGCCTTTTTCAAAATGAGAGAAGTATGAAGACATCAGTGCCTTTTTCTCACTTGCTTAATAGGTTGAGAACATTAAAGATTTGATGGCAAAAGTTTTAGGCACTAAAAGCCTACTAAGTGTAGTTAGAAGTACCACATAAGTAATATTCACCACACTTAATTGATTAAGTATTAAAAAATAAATCAGCTTGAAATATAGTTCTGAAGGAAATGGAAGAATAAATTCTTTTTAGGATAAAAGCTTAAAAATGTAAGTTACCTTAGAAATCATGTAAATCCAGCTTATAATTTCTCAAGTGAGAAAATAGAGGCTAGTAACTTTTCTCTAGGATCAAACATACTACTAGAAGAACTCCACAGATCTTTCTTAGACTTCATCAGTGCTACTTAAAACAAGGTAGGGAATTTATTCCCCTAGTGTGGCTTCTCTTAGACCTGAATCTAATGGTAAAAATTTCATTTGCTTGTACCATTCTTGTTTTGAAGATTTTATAAAGTAGGACTCATGCTTTTTACTGGATTGAATCTTACAAAGTAGTTTTAGATTCTGAAGGGGTTATGTAAATCTAAAGGAAAGTAGTAGCCGAATCAGAAAACATTGGGAAGACTCTGCATATGTGATCAGAATCTTAAATATAAAATCATTAGATATAGAAGAATGAAGTTTAATGAACTCAAGTCTACTCTTAGGTTATGAATTTGATAGGTACAGTTATACTTTGTTGTAGGTAAACATGATTGGGTTGTGCAAAAACAAAAGGGGATGGATTTGTTACCTATAAAACAGTTTTGCTTTTTGCAAAATATTTGCTATGGAATTCTTTCAAGTATATTCTCCTAGATATTAAGGAGTTGACTGAGACTGAGAAATGTATTAATAATAATAGAATGCATTAAATCTGTTTTGTTAAGTAGTAGTAATTTAGAAGTGATTTAAATTGTCAGGACAAGTAAATATTTTGTTTTTTTTTTACTTGTTCCAGTACTTCATTATAGAATTAAAACTATTTTCCAGATTTGCATTTTAAAAATACCTTAGAAGTTTAATTAATGGTGGATTCTGACACGAATTTGTTATCTTTATTTTTCTTGGCTTTTCAAGCACTGTAACCTAGTGTGAATGTTCATATTTTACTTTCCATAACTTGTTTAGGGTTTATTTTTAGTTATCTCAGATTCAAGGCCATTTAAGAATTTCATTATTTTTCTCCACCACAACCTTGATTTTTTTTTCCTCCACCATCATTAGCTATTTTCATTCATACTTAACTGTTGAGTATTATTACATTAATGGAATAAAAATGTCATTTTTCCATGCTCAAAAATTCTTATAAAAGAGATCTAAATGTTAATGAGAAAGACATGCATTTATACCTTTTTTTTTTTTTTTGTATAATCTCTTTTTTTGGTTTCCTTTTGAACACTGTACTTCCTGGGGACATCAGTCTTTATTAAACATCAGTGTGTGGCTTCAAAGGAACACCATAGAAAAGAGCTGTTGTTATATAGTTAATGAACAGTCAGTACTTACATTACTGAAATATAAATTGCAAGTGGTACTTTTTGGTTAAAATTATCTTTTTTTTTTTCTTCAAAATTCCTTTTTAGATGTTCTTTGAAGATCATATTGATGATGCCAAATATTGTGGTCATTTGTATGGCCTTGGTTCTGGTTCATCCTATGTACAGAATGGCACAGGGAATGCATATGAAGAGGAAGCCAACAAGCAGTCATGACATGAAATAGTCCTTTTTATTTTATTTGACCTACACACATGCTTGTATATAGGTTTTATCTCTGGTTGAATCCTTTGAACAATAGACAATACGTTTTCCCCCCTTTTGTAGCCCATTTGTTTTTTGCCTTTCAGTACTAAGTATGACCGTTCCTATCTCAGATCTTAATAAATAGAAGTATATTCAGGTTAAATTTGGCCTTAATTTAAAATATTTGTTAGCAAGCGTGTGTGATAGAGTGGGGAAAGCTACATCATATTGAATAATTTGATAAACTTTACCTACTTGAGCTTGTCCCCTCCTCTGCTCCCCCCCCCACGCCCTTTCCTAAATTAACTAGCACTGACTGTAATTTATTTCCCTGTTTCATGTCTCTCCCTTCCGTTCTGCAGGAGTTTTAGCTATTTGAGATTGTGGACCATCAATTGTGCACTTTAGAGAGTGATTCCAATCCTCTGTTTTATCAGAAATTGTGGTTTTTCTTGCTCTTAGCTAGAAAAATGACCATCTGCCAACTTTCTACAGTATTTTGTTTTGACCTACAGAATATAATTGCACAGGTGTTGTGCAAATTGTTGATTCAGCAAGACTAACAACAACGAACTACTGAGGAGCTTAATAACTACTGTTTCTGTATGTAGTGTTTAATCTTCCAAGCACATCTAGTGTCTGTCAGTTTCTCATTGGCATATGTAGGCTGCTCTGTGACTGAAGAATTTTCAAACCAGCTTTACACCCTTCAGGAAAAAAAAAAAAAAAAAACCCTTGTGATTGGATATTTAGTATCTGCCAGGAAACTGGAATTCAAGAGATTGAGGCTACACTTATTTTATGATAGCACACTTCCCTTGATCTGCTTTTTATTCCATCACTGTTAACCCTTTTTATTTTATAGCCATACTTATGATGCTCTTGATTTGTTGATTATACAGATCAATTTCATTAAAGTCCAAAGAACAAGTCTTTAGGTATATTTTGTATCAAATTAAAAGAGAAAAATTGTGCTTTCATAGTTGCTACAAAGAAATACTGGAGAGATTTGGTGCGGAAACAACAAAACACAATATATATATACACACACAAACACATATATATAGCTAATAAAATTACCTGAGGAGTGTAATGCTTGTTTATTTTTTTGTGTATATCTTTGCAATCTATTTTATATATATTTGACAAAAGAGACTGTGAAATATTTAGCCATGCAGAATATGTGACCAGACCAGAGCATGTGTAGGAAGACTTTTTGGTAATCTTTAACTCTACCCTAAAATGATGGACTACAAGTTATTATGTGTTACCTACACTTCAATCAGTAATATTAGCAAATCTCCAAGTGTTAGAAACATTAGTTTGTTTCCCTTGTACATTCTTTATTCATATTACAATGCTGTAACTGGGTGGTCCTTTTTAAACAAAACATTATTTGCAAAACAGAGGGTATTATTTGTTTTTAAAGCTTTTGTAAATAAAGGCTTCAGAAATGTTTTCCTAAATGTAGATGACTGGTGATTTTGCTTTTAAATATTTATTGGGGGTGTGTGTGTGAAATACCTACTTGTTTATTTGGGCAACTGAACAGGACTGAGTTATTTCACGAATGGTAAGTGGTTATAACTTTTTAAATTCAAAAATCATTCTGAGCCTTCTGCATTTCACCTATTCTTGCTCTTTTTGAGGACCTTAACTAGATAATTAAGAACTGATCTGTTTCTCCTTTCTAGAAACACATTTATTCTGAAAGACTAAATACATTTGGTATAACTTGCTGTGGCTTCTTAAAGCCACCGTGCTGAAGCAAGTTTGTTTTTCACTTTGTCTACTCCTTTAAAAAACAGGAATTCTAGATTGCCTTTTTAGTAGCCACATCATTGCTAAAATTTCATAACTTGTATCATTTTTGATTTCTGTTCCTAAAAGTAGTAACATTTATAATTTCTGTAGAGGAACATTATGACCTTTACTTAATGTAGGTTTTGGATACAAAGAATTTTGGCTTATAATGTTTTTAGTGTTCCTGAATTATTAATATGGGCTCTGTTAAATCTATAGAACAGGGCCTGGGGTCATGGCTCAGTAGAGTGCTTGCCTAGCATGTGTGAGGCACTGGGTTCAATTCTCAGCACCACATATAAATAAGTAAATTAAATAAAGGTCTGCTGACAACTAAAAAAAAATTTTTTAAAAATCTATAGAACAAGGGTCAACAAGCTGAACTAAAGGCCCTATAAGGCTGCTGTATGTTTTTGTAACCCACAAATAGTTCTCACTTTTAAATGGTTGTGTGGGGTAACATTTCCTGACATCTAGAAATTACATGAAATCAAATGTCAGTGTTCATAAAATTTCACTAGAATGTAGTCAGATTAATAATTTGCACGTTGTCTGATTCCTTTCCCCCATACAATGTGAGACTTGAGTAGCTGCTACAGAAACTACCTACGGGTGGGTTCATTGTCTCACATTGCTACTTAGCAAGCTATAGAATCAGTCATGCAGGTATAACTCAACAGCATTTGTTGTACCATGTATATCCTGCCACCAACATTTTAATTTTTTTCTGTTCCACAGTACACACTCTTAACCTTAAAACAAAAAAAAGTATACTTTAAATGTTTGCTTTTAAGCAAACTAGAGTACGGATTATTTTGTCAAATTACAGGAAATGCATTGTTTATGATGCAATGAGAATGTATGCTAAAAGAATACAATATGTTTGACATTATCAGAGTAAACATCACAATGTTCCTAACTCATGGGAAGAATTAAAAATTTTAAATGGAAAATCAGCATAATTCTTGAGGAAAATTGAAAATGAGGCTACAACCAGAGTTATTTTTTAAGTGGCTAGTTTGTTAGCCAAGCAAAACTGGTGATGAATTACATCATGTTTCAATGTAGGAGCCCAAATAAAGGTCCAGAAAAAGTAAAACTTACTTTTGATGAGAATAGTTGCATGAACAGTGAGGACGTTGGAAGCAACATCAAATGATTCTGAACATTTTTCTTTGGCTCCTATTGAGTCAGAAGTTACCAGTATTGTCCAGTCTTAAATATTTGAGAAGTCAGTATTGAATTCAGTGTCTGAAGAAATGGTTTCTATTGGTAGTCTGTTTAGAACAATTATGGGTTGAGAATATTTTCAAGGAAGTAGAGAAATTGCTGTCAGTACCACTTGATATGGAATGTGATAAAACTAATGGGAAAAGTATGCATGAAGCAGAAAATGATTTCATTGACAAGTTTATTAAGTTGATAAAAAATATAGAGTGTTTAAAGCATACAGCTATTCATTTTATTACATTGGTATTATTGAACTGGTAGTGTCAGCAGTGAACTTCATGCATATTTTGTGAACTTAACCATCAGTACTGACTAGCTTTGAATATTACTTTTGTTGTCTCCATTTCTTAAATTGTCATCAGATATATCTTCTTGCAGTTCTTTCAGTGTTTTTGGATCTTGATGGCAATGCAAAGAAAACATTTCAAAATCACTTAACTGCAATTGAAGAGCTTCCTCTTAATCTGTTGGAAATGAATAATCTGGAGTGAAATTGTCTAAAAGGCAAAGACCAAGAAAGACTAATGGAATCCTATAAATGCCTTACAAGTGGTGAATATATGCTCTGGTGGACATCAGTATTTGGGCAGTACCTTGATCCGTTTGTGAAGAGACTTCAAAGATGAAATAAGTAAAAATCTCATTAAAAATCAGCATTAATAGGTGGACATCTTCAATTGACTTTGATTATAGGGGATACTAAATTGAGCCCAAATTGACCCACTAATTTTAATTTTCTCAAATTGTTCAATTATTTTTATAATTAAAATGCTATGGAAATTTTTTCTTTCTCCTTTTATCAGTACCTAAATAATTTCCTTCATTTTATCTTTTACCTTGCCAGCTTCAAATTGTATCTGTCCACCTCTATTAGAGAAAACTCAAGGATCCATAGGTGTCTTGTTTGCTGTTGGAGCTGTGATGACAAATATAATGGCTCCTCTGGGTAAACAACCTGAGGTGGAATTAAATTATTTACACTTGAACTTGAACACTTTCATTAGTATGAATGTGTTTTCTTAAAAAATAAAAATAATTGATTAAATCATTCCTCTTGAATGTAGATGCTCTATATTAAAGTCCACATATTCCATTGGCTATGTGGCTATCATTTATGTGAGTACTGTTTTATACATAATCATGTTTTTCTGTTAAGACTACAGAACTGGAGGGCTATCATTCAAGTCCTACAGAACCATCATTTCAGGCTTTAATTTTTTTAAATAATTAGCTTAAATTATGATAATCTCAGAGGACTTCTTGTACATTCTAAGACAATTTCATTGTCTTGTATTAAATAGTTTTCTATAGCATTAGTGAATTGCTTATATTTAAGGTACAATATAAAAGCAAACAAGCAATTTTTCTCTTGTACAAATGCATTTCTTTGCTAAATAGCAACAGCAAATAGCTGAAGTAACCATGTTACCAATATCCAAAATTACTTAGTGAAGATAACCTTCTTAGCCTGAAGAATTTTATATATTATTTTTGGTTTTATTGTCACAAGAGGGGAAATTCCCCACTCTCACCTGTTGTGGCTCCTCTTTTTCCTAAAATGTCACGGCTCATTTGGGTAAGCAACTCAGTGCCACACCAAGAAATTGGGGTTCCTTTAGCTTCAGATTGTATACCATCATTTGGCTTCCTGATTGTTAGGGAGTTCCAGTTTGAAGAACTCAAAGACAGCATGTTATATCTTATTAGTCATGCCATTACGCAGTTTCGATGTGGACCGGTTTCAGTTGTGCCAAACACTTTTTTCTCAATAAGAATTCACATTGTTCTTTTTGTTAACAGTTGTCTTATGTCATTGCAAAGCCCATGTACAAAGAGGGTGGACAAAAATCATTCTTGAGCTAAACACAGACACACATACACACAAGCCTTATGTTGAATCTGCATAACCATTTGGGGGTTCATCCATATACTCTACTTCTTGTATGTCTCAAAGATCTTGAACACATGCTTACATGTCACTCCAAGTTAGTGTATAATTATTTTTTAAAAAAATTCAACTTCCATACAATAAATGTTTGATTAGACCAATAAATATATTTTAATAGTACCCTTTAGGGAGCCATAAATATATATACACACTGATAGGGGAAAAAAAGGTGCAATATAAATTCTCATAATATCCTTGCTTTAATAGCTGAATAAATGCAACCAAAGAAATGAAATTTTATAGGATTGGCATCTGTTCATTAGTTCAGCATCGATATAATCCTACTCTAAAGGATTTTTTTTTCTCTCAATTTGAATAGTCACCTTTATCTGTCAAATTATTAATAGTATTCAGGTCAGGATGAAGTTCCTTATAATACTGTTAAATGTTTATAATGCAATATAATAGTTTTCACAATATAAACAGTACTGACATTTCTGAGCAATGGGAACTCCTTAATGTAGTATAAACCAGGGCTTTAAGTCAATTATTAAAAGTTTCCTTTTGGTTTAACTAGTATTATTATTAAAAATAAACTAAATCTTAATATCTTTTGTCCATCTTACAATACAGAAATAATGAATGCTGGCTATGTTTAAGAACAGGGATTTGTGAACAACGATTGCCAGTTTTTGTTTTGCTTTCACTTTCCTGCATGAGAAAGGACAGGAAATAATTTAAATAAATATGCCTCATATCTGAACTTTTTGCTGGTATAAGACTAATTAGAGGGTGTAAGAGATTGAGCTAGTAGTCATCTATCTATGGTAGAGCATTCTGAAATCACATTTCAAGGGGACACTGAGAAAGGAAAAACTTGAGTATCATAGTCCAAAGCCTCTGCAACACTAAACATTGTGCTAGGAACTACTTCATGTTCATAGTCGGATCCACAGAAGTATTTTGAATACATGAATCCATCACTTTGGTGATGTTCATTGTTCACAAGCTATAATGCTACTCCAAAACAATAACAAATGCATCATGGGAAAGAGAAATGGAAAGTGTATACTTTGCTCAATATAATACAATTTCTGGAGTTCTGAAACATAATAAGACCCTTAGGTAATAACTTGTAAAGGGAACCTAGTGGGGAACAGAGTGCTCAATTTCAGGATTTCTCTAAATGTTGTTCATGTATTTAATACTTTAAATGACATTACATGTTACATGATCAAATTGCTAAGATTTCAATAAAAACAGAATCTGAATTTTTATCAACAAGGTTAAAATATTCTAGTGGTATTTTTGTAAAAGAATAACAAATACTTAAGATGCATAACTAAGTTCTCTTCCATACAGAAGAGGAAATAAGTGCTGAATTGACTGTTTATAGAAAAGGAGTCTAGGCTGCTAAAATATTCAGGATTAAGCCAGGCAGTTTTCCATTTAGGAAGAGCAAATTTCTACAGCAGGATCTTACCTAGAGACAATTGTAAAAATCTACTGCTGAAATGTGTCACGTAAGACAAAATAATGGCAGGT